CTGGGAGAACATAACAGCGTGGAAGAGTCTGTAGGGTTGTTTGCAAATGTGATGTAGCGTAAGAGCTTTTAATTAAGCGCAGTAGGCTTGGTTTACATCCTGGGCTGGGATGAGGTAGTTGAGTCTTGATGGAATTTAGTTTTTTGTTTGTCTCTTTGTGGGAGATGTAGTGAGTGTCCTGAATCTTTCTTTCTAGGATGCAGTATTCCTCCCCGGCCCGGCAGAGAGGGTCGAAGTAGCGACCCTCCTTCATGATCTCAATTGTAGCGATGGAGCCGTAAAAACTTCTCATATTGCGTATATTTTTTATCTTCCTAAGACTCGTACAATTGTGAGTGAAAAGCATAGGTCCGGATGGAACTGGAATTTGTCAATACAGTGTAGCGCGCACTAACGAAAGCACTGACATATAGCGTAAAGATATTCGTGTGTGTGTGTGTGAATATGTGTATGCATGTGAGTATGGGAGGGGGGGGGGGGTATGTGTTCGTTTGTTTGTCCAGTGACTTCACGATAATTTAATAAACTTTCTGACATCTGAAAGATACTCTGCACACTCCGCTCGCTTTCGCACAAAATTGTTGTTTGACAATAACCAGGATGTTTGTGAAATATTGTTTGTTTGTTTGTTTGTTTTTGGTAAGTGTTTTACGACGCTCGCAACTGCATGAGGTCATATGAGCGTGCGGGACACAATAAACACGATTTTAAGTTGGTAGGAAATTTGAATTTTGCCCGGGTGGAGGCCGAAGCCTACTCTTATCGATTGTGGACCACCAAGAGATCTTAAAAACGTGCGCAACTTGCACGCGGGACCTCCGAGATTTTCCGCCCTTGTCAAATATTGTTTAATGTATTGCATATCAGCTGTGGGTACAGTACCCTTCATCAGTGGGAAACACATTAAAACCAATTTGAAAAGAGCGTATTATCATTTTCTTTTTCAAATTTCATTTGCATTATAACGACACTGGCCAAAACGTACGTCTGTCTAAGACATGCCACTTTCCTCCTTGGTAATGGGTAGTTGTCTTGGGCAATTTCGACTGTATTTATTGCAATGTCTTGTGTGTGTGTGTGTGTGTGTGTGTGTGTGTGTGTGTGTGTGTGTGTGTGTATGTGTGTGTGTGTGTGTGTGTTTGTATGTGTGTGTTTTTAAAAAAAATGCAAACTGCTCTACATCCCCACCAACGCATTTTAAATCATTTAAGAGGCAGGTTTCGACCAGAACCCATAATTTTTTTGGTTCCTTTTTTTCTTTCTTTTTTTTCTTTTATTCTTTCTTTCTTTCTTTCTTTTTTCTTTCTTTCTTTCTTTCTTTCTTTCTTTCTTTCTTTCTTTCTTTCTTTCTTTCTTATTCATTTATTTATTTACTTATTTATTTATTTATATATTTGAAATAAATTTATTTTCCGAATCGATAGGAAACCATCCATAATATGCTAAGTCAAAGACGGGTCTGAATTTTGGCAAGAAATATTTTTCCTAAAACGTGAGGAATGAAGTCGGCCGCTCATAGGTTGCTGTGTGATCCAACGGATTGTAAAATTCTTCTCTTCTGGGGTTAGCCGGTCTTATCATTATATCCTGGATTTTTTTTTCGCATCGCTTTTTATCTTATCTTTGTTTTCCGAGTCAGCTCTTCTCTGTCTGCATCCTCTACCTCTTTCTGCCTTCTGTTTTTCGAGTCAGGTCAAGATATTCAAAGCCTTTTGTCTCTATTTCGAGTGTAGTTTTTTTACGTCCCAATCGACGTTATTTAGATCATTTGGTTTAAAAGTTACGTATAGTTTGCTGATGGACAGACGTGTCGTTGTTGTTGATCTTTGTTATCGTTTTTTAAATTAAATTTTATTTTTTTAAACATATTTATATACTTATTATTCTT